TTTAATTTGTGTCTGTTGAAGGAAATAGACTAATTTAATTTATCGTGAGATAGCTGTCACTAGTTTTATCTAACGCACATAAATACTATCTAATCACTAATCTAGATTCTCATCACTACCACCAACTGATCAACATAAATGCTCTAGACAAATATATCAAAGCTCCTTCTCTATCCCAATGGATGGGAACTCGTCAACCTCTATGCTATCAAATCATCCCAGGAGCTGATACGGTGGCTGTATCCAGCAGAGTAGCAGGACAAGTGGAGATGGGGGTGAAATCCGCAGCAGCTGAGAAACAGTATGGGGGGGTTAGGGAGGGTTACTGACAGGCGAATCCCTGGATCAGGCCCAGGGATTGTTCCAAAGGGAAACAGCGAGACACAGCTCTATGGAATTGGAGAAAGCGCAGAGCATTGGAAACTCTCTAGGTTCCACTCATCAGTGCCAGGGACCTGAGAAGGACTGGATGCTCCTGTCAGCCCAACCCAGGCGCTAGCGTTTGGCCAGGCCCAATTCACACTGGGTCAGAAATAGCCCCACTGCCTCTATTTTTGACCCGTCTGCTGCTGTATGGGTAGCAGGTCCATGCCTCTCTTGCCCTGGCTACAGGGTATTTATAGGGCGAGAAGGGTCTTTTGTGGAGTCACAGTGGCTATAGTTAGGAGCTGCTGCGGCGTCAGCTGACGCACACGTCATGGAGAACAGCGTCAGAGGTCAAGATCACGTCTGGAGCCGGAGCCTTGTGTTTGTTTACCGTCCTCATCCTCTGCGTCTGTCCAGTAAGGCTGGTCAACGTTTCTACCAAACCTCTGAAACGGTTACATTCATATTGATCTCCACAATGTAAGTAGTAGTAGAAGTTGTCCATGGTTGACCGGGTCCATGGTGTCCTGCTGCTGAAGAATTCTGTTGGTATAAATTTAGTGTGTCAGAGAGGTGAAGGATGGGCTGAGACGGCTCCAGCCAGGATATGCTGAGGAATGCGTCTGCCATGTGTCTGCCGTGTCAGTCTCCACTAAAATTTCCAGCAACACCCCAGGGAGCTGTGACGGTGGTGCCAGAGCCCTGCCCCACGGGACCTGGCCTCATGAAAACACTGGCCTGTCTCGATGAGCTCTGCTCTGCGTGGGCTTTTTGCTAAGTTATGGGGTTTGTGGCCAAAGATACCATTTCTCTCCTAACTTAGAAACTTCCAGGTGTCTCTTTAGTCCCACAACTCTGCCAAACTCTGTCCTGGGGCCCCCCCTGGGTGCACGTTTTGGGTTTTGCCCTAGCACTACACAGCTGATTCAAATAACTAACTAATCATCAAGCTTTGATTATTTGAATTAGCTGTGCAGTGTTAGGGCAAAAACCAAAACGTGCACCCAGGGGGGGCCCCAGGACCAAGTTTGGGAAACCCTCTTTTGGTAGACACTCTTATCCAGAGCAATTCATAATACAGTGGGGGGAAAAAGTATTTAGTCAGCCACCAATTGTGCAAGTTCTCCCACTTAAAAAGATGAGAGAGGCCTGTAATTTTCATCATAGGTACACGTCAACTATGAAAGACAAATTGAGAAAAGAAATTCCAGAAAATCACATTGTCAAAATCAAAATTGTAGACCTGCACCAGGCTGGGAAGACTGAATCTGCAAGAGGTAAGCAGCTTCGTTTGAAGAAATCAACTGTGGGAGCAATTATTAGGAAATGGAAGACATACAAGACCACTGATAATCTCCCTCGATCTGGGGCTCCACGCAAGATCTCACCCCGTGGGGTCAAAATGATCATAAGAACGGTGAGCAAAAATCCCAGAACCACACGGGGGGACCTAGTGAATGACCTGCAGAGAGCTGGGACCAAAGTAACAAAGCCTACCATCAGTAACACACTACGCCGCCAGGGACTCAAATCCTGCAGTGCCAGACGTGTCCCCCTGCTTAAGCCAGTACATGTCCAGGCCCGTCTGAAGTTTGCTAGAGTGCATTTGGATGATCCAGAAGAGGATTGGGAGAATGTCATATGGTCAGATGAAACCAAAATAGAACTTTTTGGTAAAAACTCAACTCGTTGTGTTTGGAGGACAAAGAATGCTGAGTTGCATCCAAAGAACACCATACCTACTGTGAAGCGTGGGGGTGGAAACATCATGCTTTGGGGCTGTTTTTCTGCAAAGGGACCAGGACAACTGATCCGTGTAAAGGAAAGAATGAATGGGGCCATGTATCGTGAGATTTTGAGTGAAAACCTCCTTCCATCAGCAAGGGCATTGAAGATGAAACGTGGCTGGGTCTTTCAGCATGACAATGATCCCAAACACACCGCCCGGGCAACGAAGGAGTGGCTTCGTAAGAAGCATTTCAAGGTCCTGGAGTGGCCTAGCCAGTCTCCAGATCTCAACCCCATAGAAAATCTTTGGAGGGAGTTGAAAGTCTGTGTTGCCCAGCGACAGCCCCAAAACATCACTGCTCTAGAGGAGATCTGCATGGAGGAATGGGCCAAAATACCAGCAACAGTGTGTGAAAACCTTGTGAAGACTTACAGAAAACGTTTGACCTGTGTCATTGCCAACAAAGGGTATATAACAAAGTATTGAGAAACTTTTGTTATTGACCAAATACTTATTTTCCACCATAATTTGCAAATAAATTCATTAAAAATCCTACAATGTGATTTTCTGGATTTCTTTTCCTCATCTTGTCTGTCATAGTTGACGTGTACCTATGATGAAAATTACAGGCCTCTCTCATCTTTTTAAGTGGGAGAACTTGCACAATTGGTGGCTGACTAAATACTTTTTCCCCCCACTGTATAACAAAGTATTGAGAAACTTTTGTTATTGACCAAATACTTATTTTCCACCATAATTTGCAAATAAATTCATTAAAAATCCTACAATGTGATTTTCTGAAAAAAATATTCTCATTTTGTCTGTCATAGTTGACGTGTACCTATGATGAAAATTACAGACCTCTCTCATCTTTTTAAGTGGGAGAACTTGCACAATTGGTGGCTGACTAAATAATTTTTTTCCCCACTGTATGTGCAATCAATGTACATTTTAACATTTAGCACATAGATATTTTTATTTGTTCACCCTTTATGGATTTTTTAATGTATTATTATTATTAAATGAGTGCTGGTTATAACAAGAAGAAAAAAAGTGTTTTATTGGTCAAAAGGGGTTTGACCATCTCCAGTTGCAGGTACTGTACATAGCTGGCTATTGCGGCAATGGCTGTATATGTGAAACAGTGTAGAAGTGAACAGTTGACAAACATTTAATTGCCAGCCAGCGCTAACACAGCAACCAATCTCCATTCCTCCTTCTACTCTACCAATCATCTAACAGACAGCCAAGTGTCACATCCTGATCTGTTTCACCTGTCTTGTGCTTGTCTCCACCCCCCACCAGATGTCTCCCATTTGTCCCCATTATCGCCTGTGTATTTATACCAGTGTTTTCTAGTTATCTGTTGCCAGTTCGTCTTGTCCCACCAGTGTGGTCATTTTTACTAGTGTGCCCTGAGCCTGCCTGACTCTGATTTGGATTATGAGTCTTTGCCTGCCTGGACTTACCTTTTGCCTGCCCCTTGTTATGTAATAAACTCTGAGACTCTTACTATCCACCTCCTTTGTCTGCATCTGGGTCTTAGCCTGAGTCCTGATACCAAGTTGCTCCAACCTGTGCAAGTTTGGAGTGCCTTGGGACATGCCTGACATGTTTTGGATTCTGCTGGAGAAAAGCAGCGTTTCTCCCGGCCGGCAGTGACTGGCAATGTGTTTGGGGAGCTCTCTCCACTCAGCTGCTCCACTTGTGCTGAGCAACTGGAAAGAGTCGACCCAGCCCCCCCGTCTCCCCTCCCGCAAAGCCTGGCATGGCGCCACAGCGGCATGCAGCTGGCCTCCCTCCACCTGCCAATAAACAGATATATTTAATAAGAATTTTCCATGCACCATTACAAATGGGAAACATCACGGTTTTATTTACACTCTTAAAATATCCACCTTCACCAGCTGCCACCTCCAAAAATACATGAATTAGCTGGGGGGCTGCTGTGATTTAAATGCTCCAGTCTCAGAGACCCCTAAGAGATCCTGCCTGGGGATAGGGGTGTCACAAGAACACTTCCAGAATGTCACCCACACTCTTTTCTGTTTATCCTAATCGCTTTATTCTCCAGTTTCCTGTGCGCCCATGATGATATTTACAGTATGCCAGTGATCTCACAATGCCAAGAAATGGTCGTAAAGTAAAATAATAATATGCCATTTAGCAGACGCTTTTTATCCAAAGCGACTTACAGTCATGCGTGCATACATTTTTACGTATGGGTGGTCCCGGGGATCGAACCCACTACCTTGGCGTTACAAGCGCCGTGCTCTACCAGCTGAGCTACAGAGACCACTGATAGCAAAGCGCTAACATTTAGTTCTAATACTCTACTTGTGTACTCTTCAGCAGTCACTCAGTCTTTGTTTTGATTTTAGAAAAGTGGGTTTCTTCAATATTTCTTGACAGATTAGGGCTTGTGCTTTCATATCAGTGGTTCATGTCTCCCATGATGATGCATGTTTCCATATTTAGGCATAATACAAGGCAACTGTACAAAAATAGGTATTGTTTTTAAACAAAGTCCATACAAAATTGTATACTCCAGCTATACATTTCCACAAAAGGCACAGGTAATCATCAATAACACAATCAAAAACTTAAATGCTTTTACATTTCAAGTATTTCTGGCAGCATGCGATAACTTTTCTAAATTTTTCTTGATGTCAAACTACTTCATATATCAAATATATGACATAAAGTATTTGGACACAGTCCATTGCGCTTATTTCATGAGCCTGAAATGTCAGAGACCAAAAACATTCAGTAGTCAGAGCTCCGTGTCACGAATAGTAGTTTATCTCCAGTGCTTTGTGAGGGTACAGCAGTCTGATGCTAGTAGAACCAGACATAGTCTAGACAACAGGCACAGAGTGGGCAGCACAGGCAGTAAACAGCATCAGGACAGTGGGCAGCAGCCAGCCTCTTCATGCTTGGAGAGCAGAGATATCCTGGAGAAGGTTTTGGAGCAGCTCTTGCACTGGTATTTCTTGATGTCAGAGTGTGTCTGTAGGTGTGCTCGGAGGTTGGAGCGGTCAGCAAACGGCCGGCTGCAGTGTGGGCAGGAGAACGGCTTCTCACCTGAGAAAAGGAAATTATCAACTCAGAGCCCTAGTGGGTAACTGAATACGGGACGATGTGAAGTCAAGCTCAATTCATGAAACTGGTGAATAAAGGTAAAAAGTGTTGCCGGCTGTACATTTCTCCGGCCGTACCTGTATGTGTGCGAATGTGTCCCTGGAGCAGCCAAGGCCTGGAGAAGGCCTTCCCACAGAGCTTGCAGACGCACGGCAGTGTGTGTGTTCGGATGTGCATCTTCAGAGCTCCCAGGCTCACGTACTCCTTGTCACAGTACTTGCAGCTGAAGTACTTGTGACACTGCCACTCACAGTGCAACTGCCTGTGCTTGGCCAGCCCAGAGAAGGTGAAGTAGGCTTTGTGGCAGTCGAAGCATTCAAAGCGCTCCTGACTAACACCAGGGTGGACAAGGCCCAGGAGGGGATTAGGCATGCCGCCCCTCTCCTGCAGGTGTCTGAAGTCCTGTGAGGGCAGGAAGGTCTGGGGTTCCATGGTTCCCAGGGGCTCAAGACCGGAGTGTGAGTCTCTTAGCGGAATGTTGTGAGACACTGACAGGGGGTAGGTGATTTCCTGTGTTGAGCTATGCAGGGACAAGCTGGTGTCCCTTGAAGGCAGCCTGTCTACCTGTGGAGAGTGCATGGAGGCTGGTGTGGGGATGAGACTTGGTCCTGGCAGCCAACCCTCCAGGGGCTGAGGAGTGCTGGGGATGTAACATGGTACCTCAGGCTGGACCAGGCTGGTATGGAGAGCTGTAATGACACAAACACCATTTTATGTTAAAACTGTTTTACAAGTACATTCAAATGTTTTAATCATGCTCTATGAGAATAATTAGGTAGGATTCAGTAATACGTTAAAACATATAGTTAAACATTTGACATTAATTTACAATATTAGGAGCAGTCTCAAAGTAACAGAGTTCCAAAGTTTCAATGCATTCACATAGCCAACAGGAACTATTCTATTTTCCTTTTAAAAAACTCATCTGATTTCAGTCACATTCATTTTCTTTTCCACTTCTATAACGGTAATCTTGACAGTTCAATAGAGGAGGGTGGGAGGCTAGCTTGCTTTAAAGGGTGAATTGGAACAAAAACCCAGACTTAAGGCAAATTTCAGGGTAAAAGGAGCCTCGGAGGGCACTACATTAGCCTCTTGAAGGCGCTTAATAGGACCCTTCAGATCCCAGAAGGAGGGACTAACAATAAGCTCTTCTTTTGTGTGACAGATTTTGCACCTGCTAAACTCCAAAACCGCATTTGTTGTATCCTATTCCAAGGTATCATTTCAATCCATCATTATTTACTTTCCTATAACTAACATACTTTTAGACTATGCTGTAATCATTTTGTTTGAGTTATAGGCCTAGTGTGTTCAATTACTCAAGGGAAAAATAAAAATCATTTTCAAAATGGGCTATGAATGGAATAAAATAAATAATGATAAGTTCATTATTTTTTTTCTGAAAGAATGCAAGTTCTAGCCAACAGACAAAATAGCAAAGGTATTGACATTGGTATTTTTTTTATAGAACTAGATGAGAATAAACAACACAACGATATAAACTTATAATTTAAGTAGATTTTAAAAGTTAACTGTACCGTCTGCTTTTGAATCCAAAATTCCATAGTTTGGCTTCTTATTAGTGAGATGTTTCTTCACCAGAAAGGACCTTGGCATCTTTAACATATAGCTCTGAGTTATTGATGAGTCTGCAGCGCCGCAATAACGTAACGAGTGCTCGTTGAGTAGGATGACCTGTTGAATAAATAGCTGTTACTTCGAGGCTGTCTTTTGCCTTGCATTCTTTGGTGAAGTGGAGAGAGTCAGGTGCAGGGGTCGCTGAGAATTAGCATACACACCCTGTCGGACCAATTAGAATGAAACGACAAGTGCACGGGGGCGGCTCCTCTGCGTCGATCAGCATACCCCAACAAAACAGGTGCATCGCAATACACCGTACACAGTAATCTGCAAGCTCGTAGACAGGCGATCTGAATTTGCCCTGCTTACCAGTTTCTTTATTCTACAAACTTTCTCACTATCACATGGTATATCAAAAAATGCCAAATAAATGTGCTTTTTTTTTGGTTGAACTAGCCTACAAAAACTTTCATAACAAATGTGCTCAAGGTCCAGACCTATGATTCGGCCAACGAACGGTGTTTATTTGAATGAATGCACTTTTTTTCTATCCTATGCTTACTTGTATAGAAAGACAGCTTTTTAGTGTTTCGTGAGAGGTTCCTCGTCTATTATCCTCAGTTTCTTTCCATGTCTCATTTGAACGCTTTGGAAACAAAGCGCATTTCCGAACCGGTCATTTTCTATTCCATGAAGTCCGTCCTATTGAGGCAGCCGAACTAGCGGTCAGGAGGGGAGGTCAGCGGCGTGGAGGACTAAAAGCAACCTTAACTGCTTTTTTTTTTTTTTTTATGATGGTGTGAAAGTATTCACTTCCTTGAACAGTTCATTGTGTAGATTTAAAAAATAAAAATACACTGACCTTATCCACCTACTCCACACTTCTAAAGTGTAAGACAAAACGAATTTGTATTTATAGTACACGTTTAAAATTGAGCATTGTGCCTTGAATCACATGCAGGAGTCTAAATGTCTAAGGTAGCCTATAATGGTTCGAGCCTTGCTGATTGGCTGATACCCATGGTATATGGACTGATACACCACGGCTATGACAAAATATTTATTTTTACTGCTCTAATTATGTTTGTAACCAGTTTATAATAGCAGTAAGGCACCTCAGGGGTTTTTGGTATATGGCCAATATACCACGGCGAAGGGCTGTGTCCAGGCACTCCGTGTTGCATCGTCCATAAGAACAGCCCTTAGCCTAGGTATATTGGCCATATACCACACCCCCTCAGGCCTTATTGCTAAAATATAACTTGTACAATCTGTTCTGTGGGACAAGGAAATGGCATCATTCATCGACCCAGACCTGTTTTATTCAATCGTCGCCATCTAGTGCCTCAGCTGTGAATGATTTATTTTGCTAAAAAAATAAAATAAACAACGACTGACATGTTGTAATTTATTTAATAAAACTATTCACATGTCCATCATTGTACCAAAGGGATATCCTTTATATATAAAAAAAAAGAATTCACAAGTGTGCTTCTTCAGAAGCAAAAAGAAAAAAAAAAACATACTTAATATGATTAAAATGAAAAGGAATAAAACGACCCAAACTTAGACGTTAAATCAAACATTTAAAAAAGCATTTGAGTTTGATAATTCATCTCTGGATCGTCTTTATAGAAAAAAACAGAACTTTGATGCCAACATACCAGCAAACTCAATTCAAGTATAGTCTGGGGTTGTTAAGAGTTCATTAGAAAGCACTGCTGAACTGTGTAAAATCCATGTCAACATCCTGCTACTGCAGAGCCAAGAGTGTGCCAACCTCCCCATGCTGAAGACGAGCATTGAACACATTTTTCTAAAAATGGTCCCATGTCTGCACAAATCGAATTGCCAAACTGTAGATGTGCCCGAAACACATAAGGGGAAATAAAGAAGGTGTCTTCAGTCTACAGACTCAAGTGTAGAGAACCGGATGCTTGCCAAGCAGAAAGGTTTAGTGGCTGACTGACTTCTCAATCCTCTCCTCCTCCGTACATGTCAGACAGCTTCTTGAAGCGTGGGCCCCACTCTTGAAGGAGGTCGTAGTCCTGGTCGTCTCCTGAGCTGGAGGAGTTGAGGGAGCTGAGGGAGTCGGCCTCAGAGCCACCTCCTTCATAGTCAAACACCAGGAGGGAGTCGTAGGGAGGAGCAGTGGGGTCGTTGTCAGCTGCCTTCAGGTTCTGGTGAACAGAAAGATTACATTTTAGCACCTTGGTGAATATACATTTTAAACAAGCATAAACTACATTTATCCATGTCAAATCCAGTTATTTCAATGACAAATCATCTTCAGAAGACCTAGATATGATCTTAACTGTGCATTCCACTCACAGTATAAATCAGTTCAAGACTTTACTCACATCATCAATGAAGTTGCCAATGTCGGCTGGGTTGGCGGGTCGTGGGCGATACTCTGGCCGGGCCATGGTTGGAGCAATGTCATTACGGAAAACATCAGGACGGTTATCCAGACCTCTGTGCAGAACGCTCAAGTCGAAATCCTGAAAGTGGAAAGATGTACAGACACGTATTATATTCCAAGATTCGAACATACAGAACCATAAACTTTAGAAACATTGAGTGACAGATTTGTTATTGCAAACCATTGCATATCCCAATAATACATTGACCATTGGGAGAGCCTAGTGGGCTTGTTCGGAGCTAGTCTGGTGTGCTCTCCCCTCACCTGGTCATCCTCGCCACCTCCCTCCTCGTCGTAGTAGTAGATGTTGTCCCTGACATCATCCTCCTGCAGCAGAGGCTCCTTCTTCTCACCACCTCTCTTCCTCAGGAACATGAGCAGCAGAAGAGACAACACTGTGGAGCACAAAAAACAGGGCCTTAACACACTAGCACTTCATTGTGTATTAACAATTACATATGTAGGCTTCGAGGACAGCATTGACCCAACACTTTAGTAACGGGTTAAACAAATTAACAACTTACATAGGAGTAGTAAGACGGCTCCTAGAATTCCCAGAATGCTAGAGAGGCCGAAGCCTGCTACAGCTTTATCGGTGCACTGGAAATCAGCTCCTTTGCAGTCACACACTGAGGCCTGGATGGTGCTGTCCTTGTGCAGGCCCTGGTTGTCAGACACTCTCAGGACAACTGTGTAATCTCCACTGTCCAACATAGTCTTCAGTGTCAGGATAATGCCAGTCTCTGAAATGGAAAACGGGTAACATTTAACATCAAAAAACGCAATTGTTTTAAAGGGGGGATAGTACTGTAGTTCTGGAGAAAAAAAAATCAATGCATACTTGTGTCATTCATTCTGGCAGTCCAGTTAGAATGGGACGACCCCTGAAGCTGTACGGTGTATGGAGCAGCGAAGCCCGCGCCATCTTTATCAGTGACTGACAGCAGCTGTGGGGAGGACTCCTTGTTGCAGACCCTAATCACACTCTCGTCGATGGTTGGAGCATTGTCATTCACATCCTCCAGCTCTATGATAAGGGTGCCAGTGCCAGTTGCCGGGACTTCATCTGCAAATTAGAGCAATGTCACTCAAAAGGTCAAGTTTAGGGTGTGGTCATCTTCTAAACTTGAAATATTAACAGTTAACATTAGAGAAATGGAAAATTTAAATACCGTTGTCAATGCCCAGAACAATAACAGAGTATTTGTTGTCTTGGACAAAAGGGGATTCTCTGTCCATGAGGCTCTTGACTTTGATCAGCCCAGTGTCTTTGTTGATACGGAGCCATCCAGCAAGATCATTGCCTATCTTGTATCTGTTGAGTAAATGTAAAAAAATAAAAATAAATGTTCCCCTCTTCAAATCTTACAAAACATATAAGAAAATGTAAATGAAGTTATAATCTTACGTGACTTTCTGATCCCTTGCAGTGTCTGGGTCTGTGGCTGTGTACAGAACCAGGTCACTGTCAACAGGGAGATCCTCAGGTTTTCTGATATTCTTCTCCACTGGGGTGAAGACTGGAGCTTCATTTACATCTTCCACATTCACTATAACAGTAGCAGTGGAGGTTGGAATGCTGATGGCGAATGGGACTTCATTCTCCACAGTGACCAGCAGAGTGTACTTGTTATTCTTCTCAAAGTCAAGGGGCTGTATTGAATGAACAGAAAAGCCCATCAGCATAGGGAAGATATTGGCGTTTATATCTACAAGCATACACTCCCCTATATATTTATTTGGACAGTGTAGCCAAAACGTTTAATTTGGCTCTATACTCCAGCATTTTAGATTTGAGATCAAATGTTTCATATGAAGTGACAGTACATACTGTAACTTTTTATTTGAGGGTCTGTTCATAAATATCAGTTTTACCGTTGATAAATTGTAAGCACTTTATGTATCTAGTCCCCCCATTTGAAGGCGTCATAGATATTTGGACACATTCATAGTGTATTAAAGTAGTCAAAAGTGTAGAATTATTTGGTTCTATAATCCTAGCACACAATGACTACATCAAGCATGTGACTACAAACTTGCTAGATGGATTTTCAGTTTGTTTTGGTTTAGTTTCAGATTATTTTGTGCCCAATAGAAATGAATGGTAAATAAGAATCACTTTTATTGTAAATAAGAATATGTTTCTGAACAATTTTCATTCAATGTGGATGCTACCATGTTTACGGATAATCCTGAATGAATCGTGAATAATGATGAGTGAGAAAGTTGGAGGCATAAAGATCATACCCCCCAAAACATGCTAACCTCTCACCATTACCAATAACAGGGGAGGTTATAATTTTTTTGGGAGTGTATGATATTTTCCCCTCGAACTCTCACTCATCGTGATTCAAGATTTATTCATGATTATCCACAATGGTAACATCCACATTAATGTAGAAGAGTTTAGAAACATTGTATTCTCATTTACAAAAATAAAAAAAAGAGTCAAAAATGACAATACATTACTTACCATTCATTTCTAGACCCCTTTCTGTGTTTGCAAACATTGTCGCACAAGGGCGATGCGCGCAAGTTGGTGGCAGAAGGGGGTTCTTACAGAACGCCAGCAAAAAAAAGACTATTTACATGTTGCTTACGAGTGCATTTCACACTACTTTTGGATTATAATTGGATTTTAAGGCTCGTATGAATGTCCTGCTTAATATGATGTTTGTGTCATTATCGCAAATCAACTGCATTATACTTCTTTTTTTTTTTAAACACTTCAACTGTCTAGCTTTTGCTACAGCCTATATCAATGAGCGTTAGCATTCTAGCTAACAATTGCTGCATCCAAAATAGGTATTTTGCAAAGACCATAACCAAATATAACCCTAGCGACTGTTCAAGCAAGAATCAAAACATAATTTTAAGCATATGAGAACCCAAAAAAGTTATTTTGTTTAGAAGTAATAAAAAACGGAAATCTAGGCTGTGTTGAATGGGCGCAGATGGCGATGGCTTTCTTACTGCTGCAAAGAGTCGCGCTCAACTGTGCATGACGTTAGTGTGCCGTGTACTGGAAAGGGGTCTATTGGGCACAACAATCAGAAACAACGAAAACAAAGTAGTTAAACTTTATGTAGTCATTGCGTGCTAGGAATATGGGACCAAAATACTAAGCTTTTGACTACTTCAATACGCCATTAGTGAATTTATCCAAATACTCACGGCACCTTCAAAATGGGGGGACTAGATACATTTGTTTTAACGTTTAGAAATGAAAGTACTTAATGTATGAAAATACCCTCAAATAAAAAAGGTGACATTATGTAATGTCGCCTCATAAAACATTGGATCTCAAATAAAAAAATGCTAGAAAACAGAGCCAAATTAAAACGTTTTAGCATCACTGTCCAAATAAATCCGAAGGGGAGTGCAAGTTGCTTCCTCCAGGAAATCATTCCAGAGGAGCAGCTAAAACGCTACATTGACAGGTTGCTTTTGCTACGCCCCCAGAGTAGCAGCTAAAACGCTACATTGACAGGTTGCTTTTGCAGGATTTCAACATACCTTGGCTGTCGTAATGATGCCCTCCAGCTTGCTAGGGCCTGTGCTCACACTGAAAAGGCCTTGAGGGTCCCCGTCAACTATTTTGTAGGTGGTGGCCCAGGCAGAGGAGTGAGGCTCATCTCCATCAGTCACTGGCATTTTCACCACCAAGGCATCCACTTTATTCTCTGGGACTGACACGGTGTACTGCAAAGGAGAGAAGCATGATTATAAAGCAACAAAAGGGCAATTTCATTATGTGTTACAACAGTGGTAAGGCTTCAAAATGTCTTCAGAAATGTGCTTACCAAAGGCGTCACAAACTGTGGCGCGTTGTCATTGCTGTCCGTCACTGTAATGATGGCTTTGCTAAAGCTGGTAAGGCCATTTCCCTCCAAATCGGCGGCTTGGATTTTCAAAGTATATTTGGGAATTTTCTGAAACAAATTAAGTTGTAAATTAAGTCAGGGTCACAAATGTAAAGTAAGTAGAATGTACACAATGAATAAATGATTTGACAAGACTATTGATTTGAAAAGAGACCAACCTCTCTGTCCAACCCAGGTGCGTTAACCCGAATCCATCCGGTCACAGGGTTGATGACAAACATGTTGGGGCTTGGTAGTAGAGGGTCCTGTTTGATAATGGTGTATCTGACATCAGAATTGGCAGAGCCCTCCTTATCAGCATCAGTGGCCGTTACCTGCATGAACTCATCATCTGAACAGTGAAATAAATTGAAGCAAAATCGTTCTAGCATAATTTTCCTTAAAGAATATCACATTATTAAGTATTGTAAATACTGAGCGTGTGTGAACAACATACTTGGTTTTGATGCCTCAAGAACTGTTCCCCTAAATGGATCTTGGGTAAATACAGGTTTGTTGTCATTCAGATCGATTACTTTCACAATGATCTCCATGGGCTCCTCAGCTATACCTGAACCCACTGCAACAGCATGGGCTAGGAGCTAGAGAGAGAAGTAACAACAAATAGTTTAAAACTACATATAAATAAGTTTAATTAAGTTAAGGGGAAGAAAATTAGTATACACAAACCGTACAATGTATTGGTCTTGTTTCTCCCTGTCCAAAGGCTGGGTCACATAGAGAACCCCAGAGTTTTTGTCCACAGTGAAGAGTCCCACAGGAGGTTGGTCTGCCCCATTGCCAGTGATGCTGTACTGGATCTTCACCTCTTTATCATTGCTGGACCTGATCTGGTTTACAAAGATAATAATATTCATGTCAATGAAGAAATGTCCAACACTGACACTGATATTAGAGTAATGGAAAAACTATCCTTAACCTACAAGACACTTACCTGCACCATATTCGTGGGGAAGGGGCCTCGGTCATTCTCTGGGAAGTTGATGGGAGGAATGACCCAGTCCCTCTTCCTTCTTTTCAGACCTCCTGAAGACTTGGGGAAGTTCAGAACTGGTAGAGACAGACTTGCTCCAGGCTGTGGAATTCAAACAAAAACCATGAAATATCAAGTCTATGGTTTTACCAAAAAAATAAAATAATAATAATAAATATACACACACACAACCGTTCAGAAGTTTGGGGTCACTTAGAAATTCTTGTTTTTGAAATTAAAGCAAAAAAAAGTGTCTATTAAAATATCAAATTCATCAGAAATACAGTGTAGACATTGTTAATGTTGTAAATGGCTATTGTAACTGGAAACGGCAGATTTTTTATGGAATATCTACATAGGCATAGAGGCCATTATCAGCAACCATCAGTCCTGTGTTCCAATGGCACGTTGTGTTTCCTAATCCAAGTTTAACATTTTAAAAGGCTAATTGATCATTAGAAAACCCTTTTGCAATTACGTTAGCACAGCTGAAAACTTGTGCTGATTAAAGAAGCAATAAAACTGGCCTTCTTGAGACTAGTTGAGTATCTGGAGCATCAGCAATTGTGGGTTCGATTACAGGATCAAAATGGCCAGAAACAAATAACTTTCTTCTGAAACTCGTCAGTTAGAGTGTCTAGTTTGAGAAACCGCTGCCTCACATGTCCTCAACTGGCAGCTTCATTAAATAGTACCCGCAAAACACCAGTCTCAACGTCAACAGTGAAGAGGCGACTCCAGGATGCTGACCTAGGCAGAGTTGCAAAGAAGAAGTCCAGTGTGTGTTCTTTTGCCCATCTTAATCTTTTATTTTTATTGGCCAGTCTGAGATATGGCTTTTTTTTTGCAACTCTGCCTAGAAGGTCAGCATCCTGAGTCGCCTCTTCACTGTCGACGATGAGACTGGTGTTTTGCGGGTACTATTTAATGAAGCTGCCAGTTGAGGACCTGTGAGGTGCTGGTTTCTCAGACTAGACACTCTAAAGTATGTGTCCTCTGGCTCAGTTGAGCACCGGGGCCTCCCACTCCCCTTTCTATTCTGGTTAGAGCCAATTTGCGCTGTTCTGTGAAGGGAGTAGTACACAGCGTTGTACGAGACCTTAAGTTTCTTGGCAATTTCTCGCATGGATAATAGACTGACGGGTTTCAGAAGAAAGTTTTTTGTTTCTGGCCATTCTGAGCCTGTAATGAAACCCACAATCGCTGATGCTCCAGATACTCAACTAGTTTCAAGGCGGCTAGTTTTATTGCTTCTTTAAAAATCAGCACAACAGTTTTCAACTGTGCTAACAATTTCAAAAGGGTTTTCTAGTGATCAATTAACCTTTTAAAAATGAGTAACTTGGATTAGCAAACACAACGTGCCATTGGAACACAGGACTGATTGTTGCTGATAATGGCCTCTGTATGCCTATGTAGATATTCCATTAAAAATCAGCCATTTCCAGCTACAATAGCCATTTACAACATTAACAATGTCTACACTGTATTTCTGATCAATTTGATATTTTAATGGACAAACATTTTTTGCTTTTCTTTCAAAAACAAGGAAATGTCTAAGTGACCCCAAACTTCTGAACGGTAATGTATGTATGTATGCATGTATGTATTCATTTTACAAAAACTGCCATCAAACATCAAAAATCAGTTTCAATGACAATGTTTCCAGCTACACAAGTAATTGAAACACCTCCAGAGAGATGCAGTTGCCCATCTATCCACTAGAGGACAGCATAGTCTCATCAATTTGACCAGTCGTATACCTGGGGCTGGGTGGTCATCTCATGGCGGTGATGGTGATTGTGGTGGTGGCCGTGTCTGGCCTCATGCAGCACTCTGACTGGAACCGTGATCTTCTTGCCCTGGGAGTAGGTAGAGACATCGAACTCCTCTTGTCCATTATGCAGAGTCACCCCCCTCTTCAGTTTCAGCGTCCCGTCGCCATCTACTTTGAAGCGTGAATCCTCGGAGTGAAAGAGAAAGCTGGTGCGGCTGGTGCAGTCATCAAAAACCACTGCAAGGTCATAAAGAGGAAGGTGGTCAGAGGATTTCCTTTTAAAAACAATATCACAACCATAATACGTATGTAGGCCTAAAAAAGTAACCATTGAAAGCACTTCAAACACAGGAGCAGATTTAAAGCACAGTCGCTTTAATTTCAAATTCATAAACACAAGAGCCCTATTCCATCAGTGCTTACTTGTGAGAAACTGATAAGAACCACCACACTCAGTAAATGTGTAAATGGAATACTGGTCATAGTAACAAAGCAGCAAATGGCCTTCTAAAAAACCTAGGCCTAATCGCCTCATGATCGCAGTTCTGATCTGCTGCAAAGACATTATGCAGGGCTTATTATTTTCACAAATGTAAAAATCCCCAACATGTCCGACTTGCAAACATAGTATTTTGACCCACATCCTCATCTAACTAACAACACTACATGTATAACTAGTACTGTGCAACTTAGAACAATATACAATGTACCAGGTGGAGATTAAGCTGTCATGGTATACAAGTAGTCTGCCAGAATCATCCTGTGTGGACAGAGAGAGAAAGAGCAGAGTTGACTTGCCCAGCCCTGGGTTAAGACTCAAGGACAGGCAGGCAGCAACCTCTGGTTTCACATTACTACTCTAAACATCCTGAGGCATAGGCCTAGCTCTACAAAGAGGTCTGAATCACTCAGGTATTAGTGTCTCATGAAGCCCCTATTATGTTAACAGAAGAAATTGATTGAGTATATACACACAAAATAAATACATTATGACCTACAGTTGTCTTTCTGTAGTTCTTTCATTTAGGCGTAGACTGCCCATGAACAGTTGCTGTTTAGAAACCCTAAACCATTTTCCAGCTTAATGAACTGGCTAAATATTATGCAGAAATTCTGTAATGACACACAAAACGAGAAATGTGTGGTTGAGAAAGATATGGAAGTGTGGTTTTCATTAGTAAAACTGAATTGGATGTATGCCACAGTACCTACTTCTGCTTTCTGCTCATTCTATTGATAGTTAGGTACTAGAGAATCAGGTAGGTAAAAGGTACAGCGACTACCACTATAGGCAAGATGGCGGTCGTCACCAAAGTCTTGAACAAATTAAAGAACGCTGTAGGTGGTAAAGCTCAAATCCAGAGCAACAAAAGAATCAGGTCACCTGTCATTTGTTTTACAACTGGCTGTCTCGTCATTGTTGGTAAATCAGGCCTAACACTGTTGTGTCGTCTGCAAACTCGATGATTGGGTTTGGAGACATGCATGGCCACGCAGTCATGGGTGAACAGGAAGGGGATAAATGGAGATTACCATCCCTCAATGGTCACGTGGTATTTGACTGCGGTCATGCCTCATTACTGCCGGTGGTGCGGTAATCCGGTCACCACAACAGCCCTAGGTATAGCCTAATGATCACAGAAACTTGTTTTCTGAAAATGTCTTTGGTACATATTGGTCTAGCCTATACTCAAATTAAACAAATTCTAGTAAATCGCCTTTGAACGTGGACTGTATTATTATGCAAACTGGATGGACTGGTTACCTTATGCTACGCTCCAAACTTTCTATCCATGAGTCTGGGAGAGAAGTTATAGGCCTAGGTGATGAATAGCCTAGTAACAGGTCATTTTCATAATTAATAGGATGACATTACCTTTAGCTACAGAATCTCACCACCGTGCGCTTCCATCTCTCCTTGATTTCTTTCGAGCATGCAGAGAGAGGGGTTGTCAACAGTTGAATGAAATATGTTGTTTTCACAAAACATGTTACTATCAATGTTCCCGAACACATTTCACTTGGTATCCCAAATTAAGCACTGGGTAGCTGCAGGAGATGGGTTGGAGAGTCCATGGCATAGAGTTTGGGCGGAATATCACCTGTTGCGCAGCAAAAGGCTGCATGCTCCTCAAACAGTGACTGATGCAGAGTGAAGTAAGTGTTCTTATAAGCCCAGACAATTCTATATGAACTCCCATGTGAAAGCAGAGTTTTGATGGCTGCCACTAAAAACAGGAGGATCCCAGCTGCTACTATATTTATTTATCAGCTGCTAATATTAAAGCACATGCACCATTATAAAACTGGAGCAGACTACCTGGCATGAGTGAAAAACGAACTGCGGGAAAGTGGCCACCAGTTGCTATTCAAGTGCATACAGATGACAATTTGATAATGAGCCATTCTAAATAAAAAATATTAGTAAAGACAAGTTTAAATTGAGAATAGTCTGATTGGTGAAAATCTGATCACTTGAGAGTGTGCAGCCTGAGGCAAGCTTTAGCCTATAGTCACATCTGCGGTCGCTTTAGAGTTCAGAAATCAGCATTTTCAAAACGTAGACCAACAAAAGATCTGTGTTTTAAGCCATTTCACCTGCGTTTTATATTGAAAGTCGTGTTTTTTGCTTAATCAGGGGTGTGCAACTATAGTTTTAATTCATACAAAACAGTGTCACATGACAGATAGCTTCATTTTGATAATGTGACAGAAGTGCAATGCTATTTGGCTAGCAGCCACACAAGTAAATGATCTTACAATGAAAAAGCAAGATGCAAAAACGATGCATGGCCATCATATTTCGAACGTTTATCATAGAAAGAATGTAGCCAGCTACATTTCCTAATGTTTTGCTTGTAGTTAATCTAGCATTTTACCAGACAAAAGTAGGCTACACTGAGAAAAGTTCTGGAGAAAAGTAGCTACACATTCGAATGCCTGTTCGTGAATTCTCATCGGAGTGGACAAATGCAAATGAAGCACAAAATTAGTCTGATGCCGAGCAGAAATTACAAGAAGAATTTTAGATCTGCGTTTACAACGCGCAGGAAGATACTTATGCACTCTTTTTTTTACGCTGTGAAAGAAAATACATAATTCTGTGTTGAGACCCCTGATCATGCAGCCCATATGTGTTTGATTTCTAAGACATTCTAAAAGGTTTGCGTCATTCACAACTAAAGTGACCAAATAACTCAAAAATCTAGCGTATAGGACCCGTTTCAAATTATAACTTTTACGCTCAACATAGTCACTTCATATGCAAACTCGCATATTAGGTACATCTAGTACCAGGTCGGACTGCCACTTTTCTTCCAGAACAGCCTGAATTATTCAGGGCATTCTACAAGGTGTCGGAAACATTCCACAGGGATGTTGGTCCATGCTGACATCACGCAGGTGCTGCAGATTGGACGGCGGTACATTCATGCTGCAAACAGCCCGTTCCATCTCATCCCAAAAATGCTCTATTGGGTTGAGGTCTAGGGATTGCGCAGGCCACTCAGGTAAACTGAACTCACTGTCATGTTCCATGTTTGTGGCCCACCTGTTAGCTTGCACGATTCTTGCCATTCTCCTTCGACCTCTCTCATCAAGCTGTTTTCGCCCACAGGACTGCCGCTGACATGATGTATATTGTTTGTCGCACCATTCTCGGTAAACCGTAGACAACTTTGTGCGTGAAAATGCCCAGGAGGGCGGCCACTTCTGAGATACTGGATCCGGCGTGCCTGGCACAGATGATCATACCATGCTCAATGTCGCTTAGGTCACTAGTTTTGCCCATTCTAACGTTAAATCGAACAGTAACTGGATGTCCATATGCCTGCTTTATATAGCAAGCCACGGCCACGTGACTGTCTGTAGCAGCAAATCATTTTCGTGAACGGGGTGGTGTACCTAAAACTGGCCTGGAGTGTATATTCAGGACACGGGACTTAAGCATATCGTCTCTGCTAAATTAACTAGCCTACAGCCTATAATAGTATGGCGCATAGTCAATAACATACTGTAGGCCGACTCATTCTGTTCTTCTGAAATACATTTTCTTCATATCATAATGCCTAAATCATGGATTTATTGTGATGTGTATATTAAATGGATTTACTACACTTTAAAATGTAAATGTTCCAAAGGTGCTAGGGATGTTAATGGTTAACCGTTAGCCACTGGAAATACATTTGACTGGTCATGCTTATCGGTCTATGGTAATTTGCATAATTTAGTGGAATTATACTGAACAAAAATATTAAATGCAACATGTAAAGTGTTGGTCCCATGTTTCAGGAGTTGAAATAAAATCTCAGAAATGTTCCATAGGCACTTTACATGTTGCATTTAATATTTTTGTTCAGTATAATTCCACTAAATTATGCAAATTACCCTATAGACCAATAAGCATGACCAGTCAAATGTATTTCCAGTGGCTAAGCTTATTTCTCAAATTTTGTTTACATCCCTGTTAATGAGCATTTCTCCTTTGCCAAGATAATCCATCCACCTGACAGGTGTGGCATATCAGGAAGAGGGTTAACAGCATGATCATTACACAGGTGCACCTTGTGCTGGGTACAATAAAAGGCCACTGAAATGTGCAGTTGTATCACAACACAATGCCACAGATGTCTCAAGTTGAGGGAGCGTGCAATTGGCATGCTGACTTCAGGAATGTCCACCAGAGCTGTTGCCAGACAATTGAATGTTAATTTCTCCATCATAAGCCGCCTCCAATGTCATTTTAGAGAATTTGGCAGAACGTCCAACTGGCCTCACAACCGCAGACCACCACATCTGGCTTCTTCACCTGCTGGATCGTCTGAGTCCAGCCACCCGGACAGCTGATGAAACTGAGTTTGCACAACCGAATAGTTTTCTGCACAAACTGTCAGAAACAGTCTAAGGGAAGCGCATCTGCGTGCTCATTGTCCTCACCAGAGTGTTGACCTGACTGCAGTTTGCGTCGTAACCGACTTCAGTGGGCAAATGCTCACCTTCGATGTCCACTGGCACACTGGAGAAGTGTGTTCTTCACGGATTAATCCCGGTTTCAACTGTACCGGGCAGATGGCAGTCAGCGTGTATGGCGTCATGTGGACGAGCAGTTCTGTTCAATGTTGTCAATAGAGTGCCCCATGGCGGCGGTGGAGTTATGGTATGGGCAGGCATAAGCTACGGACAACGAACACAATTGCATTTTATCAATCGAAATTTGAAGGCACAGAGATACCGTGACGAGATCCTGAGAACCATTGTCGTGCCATTCAGCTGCCGCCATCACATCATGTTTCAGCATGATAACGCACTGCCCCATGTACACAATTCCTGGAAGCTGAAAATGTCCCAGTTCTTCCATGGCCTGCATACTCACCAGACACGTCACCCATTGAGCATGTTTGGGATGCTCTGGATCTACGTGTACGACAGCGTGTTTCATGCATCTTATTTATCACACATGCACAGCATAGAGCCTAGTTTGAGAGGAAATATCACCTGTCAGACAGCAATACAGCTGGATGCTACTGGAGTGAAACATGTGCCCAGTCATTGCACAACAATTCTAAATGCAATCGCGTGTTAAAAAAAACATGGTTTTGATGGCCTTTCTACTGCCTATGCATTCACCATTCAAGTGCATAGGCAAGGTAGGCAGGCTACCACGGGTCCCCACCACTTTGCAATATGAGCTGGAGGCTGTAGGCCTATTCATTTTGAAAAAATACGTATTATTTTGAAATATGAAGTAAAACTTTCAGGTTATGAGGCATGTCTTACCTTGCTTCAAAGTAGACTAGCCAAAGTCCCACCATGGAAACATGGAAGCAATTATTTTATAAAGACTTCCTCATATGCCATAGAAACCAGCATTTCTCTCCTGTTCTATTGGTTTTTATAATCAACTTTTTGTTGTTGTCGAGAAGCCAAAAAGGCACAATCCTATTCATATTAGTGAACCCATCCTAGTTATTGCATCTTTAGATTCCCCCTTTAAGTTAAACAGAGATGATCATCTCTGTCCCATATGGAAACGCTCGCATCAGGTGCGCTGTTTAGAACGAGGTTTCACTGCAAATTGGATTGGACATTTTTTTACATTTACATTGGCTGCTTCATTACAGGAGTTATATGTTCAATAATATAGCATTTTTGCTGTGAGATGATAAGCTTTCTATTGTTGCATGTTTTACTTAAGCCCGTCATGAAAAATGTCAGTTCCTTGTTTGCATGTATAGTATTTTCTATTGGTTACGTCATTTTACTCTTTGGAACAAATGTATGTTTGTTAACCAGTTAATGAGGGTTGGTTAGTCTGCAGCAAAATTGACCGAAAGTTGCATCCCTAAAAAGGCGTGCATCATCGGCTTGTATGCGTGGAGGCCTGGCAATGCTAAAAAATGTATGTTAACTACCCATCAATTGCTGTGAGGCCGGCAGTTATTTGCATGAAAATACCCGACTGACAATTTCATGACCACCACAGCCCTAGCTATACCCACATGATATTGCCCAACAATAGCAAGACACTGACGTCAATCTTAGGAGTTAGAAGTGAAACTAGACTGGATTCCTGACCTTGCCACAACATGTAGATGAACGTACCAAACGTTCTGTATCATAAGAGACAAGTGTATATTATAGTGAGAGTCTGTAGATGTCTTCCCGTAATATATCCCAAAGGGAGGAGGAATAGTTGTAAAGCGATGACTAAGACTAACTCCTTATTACTGTAATAAATATGGAACATGACCGTGGGAAATAGGTTGCTACACAAAGGGATTGATTGAGGCAGCATTTCTCATTTACATTTTTTGTCATTTAGCAGACGCTCTTATCCAGAGCGACTTACAGTTAGCGAGTGCATACATTTTATTTATTTACTTTTTCATACTGGTCCCCCGTGGGAAACGAACCCACAAACCTGGCATTGCAAACGCCATGCTCTACCAACTGAGCTACACGGGACTGTATTGATACGCATTATTCATTTGTAATATGCTGTCAGTTGACGTGAATGACAATCAATGTCAGAAGTCACAGAGGAATCTAGGCCTGCATAATGGTTGTTCCAGGAAGTCTAACCAGTTTTACTCTACTGATCAGATCACAGAGCTTGTGCTACACGCCCAGTGAAACTACCAGAGATTTAGAATGTGTCACCGATGAGCTCAATCAGTCTAGTCAACCTCTTTACAAAAGACAAAACAGCCTTCAATTAGGTCACAACTTGATAAAAGCATAATTAAAAGCCATAGCAATACAAATCAGCATACTAAATTGGTCACAAAATTGTGAGTGACACTTTGATTTCTTAGCAAAGTATAGGTGTGAAAAATGCTGGACAGACAAAAACACCACAAACCTATTGTAAACAAACTAAGACTGAGTAAACAGGGGAAGGCCAGTGCCATGCCATATTTACCAAATAATGTACAGGGTCATCTTGCCAGCTGCACCTCTACAAACAGTTACAAAGGCCTATCAAAAGGGAGTTACTGGAGGTTCCAGAGACATGAGTCAATTCTTTACTTAGAAACAAAGCAACACTTGAGTGTGAAAACTAGCCAGCCTTGTGTTTCATCATCTGTTGTGCTGTTAAACAACGGCTGACAACCTTGGACACACCAAATGGAACATAAATTGCTGTCAGCAAGTTCACTCATCTTATAGCTCTAAATTAATTTTGTGAATCACAGTGTAAGTTCATAGAGAAGCCAAAGACACAAGGCCCACAATCATAGCAAGACCTGAAAGTATCTCAAAACTATGTGTGCGCAATGGTTTGCCTGTACAATGTACAGAGCTGTGCACAGTTTGATTAGGAATCATGAAGGCTGTCTGGGGAGAGGGAAAACAATCTTTAAACACAAAATACTTTCAATTGAACCACTTTTCTGACAAATTGAACGAAAAAAAAAAGTATAAATGTGTATTGAAATATTCAAAGCAGAACACTGTCTGCTATGAATGAAACTAAAATGTAATCTGAAGTGATGACACATTAAAAAAAATCTTAGGTTTTATGCAGCGTTCAAATCAACTGGGGCTCGGAAATGTACGAGATCAAATCATGACGTCCGTGATCTTCTGGTCGAAAAGTCGGAGCTCTTGAAAGAGGCCCGAATTCTCGATTTGAAATGTTGATTGGGATTACATTTCAAATAGATTTTTCCCAGTCGAAGCTCGTTTTTCCCCCGAGTTTTGAACGCACTGAAGTCGATGATTTCCCAGTTGTTTTGAACTCGGCGTTCGCATATGACAGGCCAAAAATGTATGACAGCGAGGAAGCTACCACTAGTTAGTTCTTACCTTTTCCTAGTCTCCGGCCACTTTGTAAATGATTTCTTTCCACTTTGAAAATGTACATTTCTGAATTGAAACCTGGTAGACATTTTGACTCCTCCGACGCCCCTGGCTTGAAAGCCTTACAAAAGGAAAAAATAAAATAAAAGGTCAGTTTTATTATTTATAATCAACTGCACAAGGTCACAAAATAAATATAACCCAGATTACCATAGAAATGCAATTATACTATCATAATTACCACTCACTACTATTGTTGATCTTCTACAAATACCACAGCACCCTATTGCGAAATGTGGCATATGTATGAATAAAAGCTCATAATAATAAAAATATCCGGATGCGTAAAAAAATAAAAAGAATCCGGGTAAGTTAACCAGGTAATTAAACAAATAACCGACCAACGCAACGTTGACTAACACAAATGTACCCGAAAAATCATGAAAAGTTAAATCATAAACGACTTCTTAAATAAGGGCTGTAGTTTAACCAGTATATGTGTGTTAGAGAGATCTCTAAGCACAGATACTGGTTCAGACTGTAGCTATCGTATTCACATGTAAATGGCGTAGCCTACATTGCGTGTTACTTTTAGAGTAGAAACAAAAAAGAATCTTACCTGGAGAAATAATATTAATACGCCCAACTCCACGAACCAAAAGGCCCCCATTTGTTTTGAATAATTTCTGGATAGTAATTCCACCAACAGTAAAAAGTGATCCGTTTACGCGTAGAGGGAAACGTCTCTCTTGTTCAAATGTGTGCTTTCTGGGTTCTCGGTTAAATCTGAGAAATTAGCTTCAGCAGGTAGTTTCTGGGGAGTGACGTATGCAAGCAGGTGACCTCGCCCATCCGCTCGCTCCGAGTATGGGCATGGAGGAGAACGGCTCTTTATACCCGCACCTATGAAACACAGGTAAATTGTCAGAAACCCACAGCAGGGTCCTGTGTGCGAAATTATTACACGAGAATGTGAGAATTCCGATCGATAGGAGAAGCACGGATGAGGAAGAGTGGGTTCATGATCAAACACGGATGTCAGTCATTCCATTTCATGTTCAAAGTAGTTTCAAACAAAACACAGTCAGCAACACTAACAATAATGTCACAGACTGGAGCAGTCTATCTTTGTCAAAATCTATAATTTGTCAAAATAAGCTTTACATTTTAACAAATGACTGATAAATACATATATTTTAATCATGGTAAAAAAAACACATTTACCATTACTCCATTTAGCCTAGTCGAAATAAATGCTGTAGATATTCTTCACCATACATTTCCTCAGCTTGTAGTAAAGTCTGTGTGTCAATGTGAGAGACCCTGTACTATCCTACCACTACCACTTCTCTCAAAGGAACCATTCATTTAGCTAGTTTGACCACAGACTGCATGATCCTAAAGCCTGTCCAGTTGGGGAATGAGACTGGGACACTTTATTAAAAACAACCCAATTTCATAAAACCATTATAGTCCTTGAATACTATTTATGTTGATCTCACTTTTACTCCTCAACGCTCATACTGCTGTAGTTTACATGGCTTCCCTACACAAGTGAGCTAAACATAAGCATAATGAGTAGCCTAAACATCTCCAGTCAGCATAACATATCAGTACTAAAATGATCTGTTGTAGATGGGCTCTGTAGCTCAGCTGGTAGAGCACGGCGCTTGTAACGCCAAGGTAGTGGGTTCGATCCCCGGGACCACCCATACACAAAAAAAAATTATGCACGCATGACTGCATTCTCTTTATCACATCTCCATCATCCTCACCTCAGACATGGTGGCAGAACAACATTACAGCCCCTGCTTGCTTTGGATTCCCAGCAGCCTTGTGAAGCAATGGTTGAATGATAAGGGATGTGAGTTGACTCATAAGTCTATGGTGTCACCTTGTAGAACCAAAGACGTCCTATAGACCTAGTCTTTGGAAGTAAGTAACCTATATAATATCAATCAAATTATTAAGATATGGAGAGATCGGCCTGTTGGAGAAAATAAAAGTGCTTCAGGGTTCCAAAGGGAAGGGAAACTATGACATGCAAGATATTTCTTTATCCATTCAGTCAATGACTTTAAAGTACAGAGAATATTGTGGATCATGAGTTTCAAATGTGATCAGTTCATGACCCACATCCAAACATCACTTCCTTCACTTTAAAGGCTTCTACTCATTATCCACAATATTGGTATGCATTGCTAGCTAGCATTATCATAACCTCATAACCTTTTTATCAGTCCCTCCCTGTTTATCCATGATTGCCATGGCATAAGCAGAGGCACAAAACCTATGCACAAAACTACTGACTCCTGACTGTAATTGAACAGATGCTGTTTTCAAAACCAAACTGGATGTTAGCCCTCCTGACTAGCCTTCACTAAAGCAACAAAACTGTAAGTAATTTGCCATTTTATTCTCAGAAAATGTTTAAAAATATCACAAAGATACATGTTTGAGGCCGTTAAAAGCGCTATATTTAGACATGAGCGTATGTTTTTCAAACGAGCTAGCTAGCCACGATCTTTTGCATGCCATCTGGTGATTTGGTAATGTGAATGCGGCATAATCATTAATGACGCTAAATAGCTTACAGAAAACTGCAATCCAACAAGTGGGTTGAGTGTATTGACGCTACCATTACATTTCTGACAACTGTTTTGAAAAGGTCAGAAACATGCTGTAATGTAGTTGAGCTACTAGCTAACTAGCTAGCTAACGTTAGCCCTGGCCCATTTGACATGGCATGGGGCAACTAGCTAGCTAACTAACGGTACTAGCATTTACCCTGTAAAAAGTTACAAGTCTGACAACAATGGATAATGTGGAGAATATGGTTTTGGTTTGAAATTTGCTTATCACTAGCTTGAATAATGTGCTCTACTGTGTTTCTTCTTCCTTCTTGTTAGCTATTATACTAGCTACAATTGCTGAATAGATCATCAAGACAGTAGCTAGCAGAATTTAGATTGGCACATGCAAATGTGATAAATGCGCACTCTATCATATTGCTTCAGATGATTAGTTACTGTATTTGACTATCTCTTTACCCCATGTAAATCTAACTGACTAGGCCTTGGTAGCCCCATAATTCAATTTACAAGTAATGTGTTGCTTTATACTTGCTTTATAAGTAATATTGAGCAGTTTGTGATATTTCTGAATAGGACATGATCCTCACACAAAGTGGTGTAAAAAGAGGAAATGAGGCCATGTGAAATATAATCCAGTTGTCAAATCAAATCAAATCACATTTTATTGGCCACATGCGCCGAATACAACAAGTGCAGACATTACAGTGAAATGCTTACTTACAGCCCTTAACCAACAGTGCATTTTTTTTTTTTTTATAAAAAAGTAAAATAAAACAACAACAAAAAAGTGTTGAGAAAAAAAGAGCAGAAGTAAAATAAAATAACAGTAGGGAGGCTATATATACAGTGGGGAAAAAAGTATTTAGTCAGCCACCAATTGTGCAAGTTCTCCCACTTAAAAAGATGAGAGAGGCCTGTAATTTTCATCATAGGTACACATCAACTATGACAGACAAAATGAGGAAAAAAAATCCAGAAAATCACATTGTAGGATTTTTAATGAATTTATTTGCAAATTATGGTGGAAAATAAGTATTTGGTCAATAACAAAAGTTTCTCAATACTTTGTTATATACCCTTTGTTGGCAATGACACAGGACAAACGTTTTCTGTAAGTCTTCACAAGGTTTTCACACACTGTTGCTGGTATTTTGGCCCATTCCTCCATGCAGATCTCCTCTAGAGCAGTGATGTTTTGGGGCTGTCGCTAGGCAACACAGACTTTCAACTCCCTCCAAAGATTTTCTATGGGGTTGAGATCTGGAGACTGGCTAGGCCACTCCAGGACCTTGAAATGCTTCTTACGAAGCCACTCCTTCGTTGCCCGGGCGGTGTGTTTGGGATCATTGTCATGCTGAAAGACCCAGCCACGTTTCATCTTCAATGCCCTTGCTGATGGAAGGAGGTTTTCACTCAAAATCTCACGATACATGGCCCCATTCATTCTTTCCTTTACACGGATCAGTCGTCCTGGTCCCTTTGCAGAAAAACAGCCCCAAAGCATGATGTTTCCACCCCCATGCTTCACAGTAGGTATGGTGTTCTTTGGATGCAACTCAGCATTCTTTGTCCTCCAAACACAACGAGTTGAGTTTTTACCAAAAAGTTCTATTTTGGTTTCATCTGACCATATGACATTCTCCCAATCCTCTTCTGGATCATCCAAATGCACTCTAGCAAACTTCAGACGGGCCTGGACATGTACTGGCTTAAGCAGGGGGACACGTCTTGCACTGCAGGATTTGAGTCCCTGGCGGCGTATTGTGTTACTGATGGTAGGCTTTGTTACTTTGGTCCCAGCTCTCTGCAGGTCATTCACTAGGTCCCCCCGTGTGGTTCTGGGATTTTTGCTCACCGTTCTTGTGATCATTTTGACCCCACGGGGTGAGATTATTAGTGGTCTTGTATGTCTTCCATTTCCTAATAATTGCTCCCACAGTTGATTTCTTCAAACCAAGCTGCTTACCTATTGCAGATTCAGTCTTCCCAGCCTGGTGCAGGTCTACAATTTTGTTTCTGGTGTCCTTTGACAGCTCTTTGGTCTTGGCCATAGTGGAGTTTGGAGTGTGACTGTTTGAGGTTGTGGACAGGTGTCTTTTATACTGATAACAAGTTCAAAAAGGTGCCATTAATACAGGTAACGAGTGGAGGACAGAGGAGCCTCTTAAAGAAGAAGTTACGGGTCTGTGAGAGCCAGAAATCTTGCTTGTTTGTAGGTGACCAAATACTCATTTTCCACCATAATTTGCAAATAAATTCATAAAAAATCCTACAATGTGATTTTCAGGATTTTTTTTCCTCAATTTGTAGTTGACGTGTACCTATGATGAAAATTACAGGCCTCATCTTTTTAAGTGGGAGAACTTGCACAATTGGTGGCTGACTAAATACTTTTTTCCCCCACTGTACAGGGGGGTACCGGTGCAGAGTCAATGTGCGGGGGCACCGGCTAGTTGAGGTAGTTGAAGTAATATGTACATGTGGGTAGAGTTAAAGTGACTATGCATAAATAATTAACAGAGTAGCA